ACAGCACGTGACTACATCCCACCACCAGAGAATATGGCAGGCTGATGTGCCAGGCTAATGTACCAGTCTGATCTGCCAGGCTAATGTGCCAGGCTGATGTACCAGGCTCATGTGACAGGCTAATGTGCCAGGCTGATCTGCCAGGCTGATGTACCAGGCTCATGTGACAGGCTAATGTGCCAGGCTGATCTGCCAGGCTAATGTGCCAGGCTGATGTGCCAGGCTGATATGCCAGGCTGATCTGTCAGGCTAATGTGCCAGGTTAATGTGCCAGGCTGATGTGCCAGGCTAATGTGCCAGGCTAATGTGCCAGGCTGATGTGCCAGACTGATGTGCCACGCTGATTTGCCAGGCTGCACATGTCTTCTTCTTCTTCTTCGCGTTCACCAGCTGTAAACTCTGGCGGAAGGTTCTGGTTGCTCGTCTACTACTGAACTGCAGTCCTGCTCCAGAACCTGAGTGTTGCGTGTGCATCAGTTTTACAGATCTCATTCTCTTGAATACAGACTGTTGGTTCCTTGCCTCTCCGGCAGACGCACTCCGTCTTCAAAGGAAGCTCCCCAATTAGTTGACTCTTACAACATGCTTTTGGGGAGGCAGTGGGTCTATTCTTGTTTTCCCCACAATGGGGCCCCGGAACCCACACAGGGGACTGCACATGTGAATTCGCTTGAGATGGCATTAGCAACAAATATGGCTAGCCAGAGGCAGCTTGCCACAGAGCGAGCAGTGGATGTTACAGTCGGTTACTGATGTCACATCCGGTTACTGATGTCACAGGTTGTTTTTATGTCACATCTGTTTACTGATGTCGCAACTGGTTACTGAAGTCACAATTGCTCACTGATCTCACCGTTGGTTACTAATGTCACATCTTGTTACTGATGTCACGGGTGGTTATTCATGTAACAGGTGGTTATTTATGTCACAACTGGTTACTGATGTCACAGCCGGTTACTGATGTCAGAGCCAGTTACTAATGTCATAGCTGGTTATTGACGTCACAGCTGGTTACCGGTGTCCCAGTTGGTTCCTTCCTGGCGATACAGATATTTCTGGTCAGTAACAGTTCCCCTAGTTATACCCTGTACATGGTGACACACCTGTTCACAGTGATACATTTGTTCATAGAAATTCATTTGTTCACAGTGATACATTTGTTCATAGTAATTCATTTGTTCACAGTGATACATGTGTTCATAGTAATTCATTTGTTCACAGTGATACATTTGTTCATAGTAATTCATTTGTTCACAGTGATACACGTGTTCATAGTAATTCATTTGTTCACAGTGATACATTTGTTCATAGTAATTCATTTGTTCACAGTGATACATTTGTTCATAGTAATTCATTTGTTCACAGTGATACATTTGTTCATAGTAATTCATTTGTTCAGCGGCGTCCGGGGCTAAGGCGTTGCGAGTCCGACTCGTAAGCCAACATACCGCTATCGAAACCCACTGCAGGCTGCGTGGATTTTTGTCGTGGTCGCAGGTCGACCCAGCCTAAAATGGGCTGTCCTGGGAAAGTAAAGACAGCCGGCGTAATGCTGACCACATTACCCACAGAGTGCTGATGGTCTGTAAAAATATAGGACGCTCTGCCCATATGCCCGATGCGCCGAAAGGCGTGAAAATGGAACTTTACTTTACTTTGCTAATTCATTTGTTCACAGTGATACCTTTGTTCATAGTAATTCATTTGTTCATAGTAATTCATTTGTTCATAGTAATTCATTTGTTCATAGTGATACATTTGTTCATAGTGATACATTTGTTCATAGTGATACATTTGTTCATAGTGATACATTTGTTCATAGTGATACATTTGTTCATAGTGATACATTTGTTCATAGTGATACATTTGTTCATAGTGTTGCACTTGTTCATAGTAGTACTGGTTCATAGTGTTACGCCGATTTCAGGTGATGCTTGTTTTAAGAAAACTCTTAACGGGTAGACGAAACGCCAGCCACCGCTTGAGACTTTTAATCCAGGAACTGCGAAACAGCACATATCTGGTTACGGTTGGCTGCACAAGCAGGGTTGCAGAGTGGGACATGTCCCCAGCCAGTGTTGCAGAGTGGGACATGTCCCCAGCCAGGATTGCAGAGTGGGACATGTCCAAAGCCAGGGTTGTAAGGTGGGACATGTCCAAGGCTAGGGTTGTAGGGTGGGACATGTCCAAAGCCAGGGTTGCAGGGTGGGAGATGTCCCCAGCTAAGATTACAGAAGAGAAGCGTGTACTGGCGGTCTGTCTTCTACAATTTTCCATACAAAATTATTGTTCACGAAAACGTCCCTGTACACATATTTCTCAAGATAATGGCACCAGCCAGCATGTGGAAATTAGACATCTACTAAATCTGGCAAGGCCAACAGATTTTATTTTAGTTATTTCAGGTAGGCCTGCAGACGCATTCACACAGCAGATCGCTGCCAATGCCAGACTGGCCACCCGTGTGAACACTTGCTACAAGATGGTCTTCTTTTTCGCGCGTCCTTTTAATCGGCAGTTGGTACACTGTATGTGGTTTCCAGATAGGTTGCGAAATCGATGGTTGCAGTAAACCCTTAATCAGTCATCCTTTACGGCAAGCCTTTACAGGGGGAGTGGGCATATCTCTTTGCCCCTCGAAATGGACATTGGAACCCACATAGGAAAGATGGTTTTCAAACAGTTCAAAATCTGGCCATCCGGTGTCACAGTAATTTTTGTGGTGTAGAGAATTTCTCGCTTCAGTGTCAACTGTTTGTATGTCAGTACAGCAGAAAATGTGCACACTGATATATTTATTGTTTGCATCTCTATTCTTCTCTCCCCCCCCCCCCCCCTTTTTTTTTTTCCCCCGTGTATGTAGGAAGGATAAAAAAAAATCTGCCTTCTCGAACATGGTGAAAATAAGCGGTGACTGCTGTCAATACCAAGAAATGAATCAAAGGATCTGTGACTGAAAAGCTAAACGGAATGGGGAAGCTGAACAACATGCACAAACCAACACAAAACAAATCGACGTTTCGGTAGGGGCCGAACTGAGCTATTAAGGATAACATGTTCTTCTCGAACATGGGTGAGCACCTGGAGGAACCCCTCGTGAACGCTACAAATCTATCAGCGATTTCAAAATGGACGGATCAGACCTAACTGGCCGCTGTGAGAGCAAAGTTATTTTGTAAAAAGCTAACCCACAATACAGTGTATGGTATGTAATTTTGGTATTGCCACATTTAGATTCTCTCCTGTGCTAAGTATTTCTTGCACTGTGCGGAGAAACTCCTCGTGGGTCTGTGGATGGAGACTGGGGCACAGATGGAGGTATTTCTCTGTAGCTCATCCTTTAAACCCAACCACAGTCCAACTAGGTATGTATCGCTTCATCTGCTTACCTGTAATTCCTCCAGCTATCTACTTTTGTTACATAACACTTGCTCTTCGTCATTATCATTACCACCGTCGTCATCACTGCAACATCTGTCTATCTTTTATTCATCATCATCGTCACCATCATCATCGTCGTCACGATCATCATTATCATCATCACCACCATCGTTGCTGCAACATCTATCATCTTTCATTGGCCAGGCACCTGCCGCGTCTTCATGCCAGTTCTAATCAAACCTCCTTATCCTTTATCGTTCAAGGTCAGACAGGTTCGAGATCACACGTCGGTGGGATCTGTCGACAGTTGAAGCAACCACATAAAAACTTTACTCAACAGTTCCCACACAGACTACTCAACAGTTCCCACGCGCAATCCTCTCTGCTTGTCGAATGGTAGACAACCATACCTTGCCGACGGTGGGAAAGTTGCGATTCACGTCTTCTTCGTTGCTTGAATGACTTCACGGGCAGACGTTCTGGTGTCTGGGCGCATGCGTTTTCAAGGTTGTATAAGTTCCCTTCTCCTGACGCCATTGTTTCGTTTTTAATGTTTCATGCCGGAAAAGGTTGGGAGAGGAGGGAGGGAAGGGGGGGGGGAGAGATTGACAAGATGAATTATTCGTGGGAACCTGGAAATTTCAAGTGATGAACAGGCGTTGGGCGCTAGTACTTGTGTCTCAAGGTTGACGTCAATATAAGGGCGCTAGTACTTGTGTCTCAAGGTTGACGTCAATATAAGGGCGCTAGTACTCGTGTCTCAAGGTTGACGTCCGTGTAAGGGCGCAAGTACTCTGTCAAGGTTGACGTCCGTTAAGGGTGCTAGTACTCTGTCCCACGGTTAACGTGGAAACAATCGAGTTTGAATCTTTTACACCACTTCGGACCTACACTATTACTACTCTTCTTCTGCCTTTCTAGCCCCCAATGGAGCATAGGCCCTCAACCAACTCACGCCAAGTCGTTCTATCTTTTGCTATCGCATGAAGCTCTCCCCATGTACTCCTCATGTTTCTAACTTCATTCTCCAGCTCTCTTCTCCATGTGAGGGGTTTTTTTTTGGGAGGGGGGGGGGCGTGTCCAATGTTATTCCGATGCCCCTGTGGACGCAATGTGTTCAAACAACTTCTTTGATGTCCACCTGGGAAAATATGCACCGGTATATCTGGTGTCCAAACTTACACGGGGACAGACAGGCATGGGTAATGTGGGAGCAATTGGACAACTACTGGACAGCAAAGCACGATGCTCAGATGGTAAGTAGTAGTAATAGTAGTAGTAGTAGTAGTAGTAGTAGTAGTAGTAGTAGTAGTAGTAGTAGTAGTAGTAGTAGTAGTAGTAGTAGTAGTAGTAGTAGTAGTAGTAGTAGTAGTAGTAGTAGTAGTAGTAAAAAAAATATTAGTGGTGGTGGTGGTAGTAGTAGTAGTGGTGGTAGGGGTGGTAGGGGTGGTTGTGGTGGTGGTTGTGGTGGTGTTCGTAGTAATAATAGTGGTGGTAGTAGTAGTGGTGGTGGTGGTGGTAGGAGTAGGGGTGGTTGTGGTGGTGGTCATAGTAATAATAGTGGTGGTAGTAGTAGTGTTGGTGGTGGTACTAGCAGTAGACTACAAAGAAGTGCTTACCTAATCTGACAGTTGCAGTGATCACACACATGTTGTCCAGAGATATGGACCACAATTATCGCCATCACCAACAGCAACAAGGTCTTAGCCCAATCTGCTGTTGCACTCGGTCGAGGCCGCATCTCGCCAGCTGGACACAGAAATTAATCCAACCACATCCGCTGAACACTGTCACACATATTCGGATTGAGATCGGAGCCAGTGATGAGGTACTCCCGGGGAAGCTTGTTGTCATGTGCAGGTCATACAATGAAATAACAGTTGTGCTGCCCTGCAGCCAGACATGTACCAGCCACAACAAACGTGCCAACCCTCACACAAATCCAGCATCCGATTAATCAAGTAAACACTACTTTCTGACAAAAAACAGCACCTCCTAAACAAATGCCTGATGGCCACCACAAATCGATGTTTAACTGTTTATAATTTCTAGTTTATTTTGCAATGTTGGCAGTGCCTTTAACGACTTGTCAGTAGCCGCTATATATGCTGTCACTTAACAAGTAGAACAATCTCAAACTTCCTTAGGCCAGTGTTAGAACAATTTTTTCCTTCACATTTCAAATATGTCGACTGCACATAATCCCACTTGCTTGAATGTATCCAATGAACACAACAAACTAATTGTAGATTGAATCGGTTACCGGCGTGCCAACACAAGTAAAACACTAGTCAAGAAAGGTCCGGAGTGAGAATACAGGCTTCTGGACTTCCAGTGTCTTGATACGAAAAACCTGCGAGAGGTTTACGACTGGGGTTGCACTAACAAGTGGCTCCACCCAGCTGCCTCCCCACGTGTAAGCAACGGTCCCTGGTGTCTCCGCCCGTTGGCGGTGTAGGACTGACGTGAGGTGGGTGACTGACGGAGTCTGTCCGTACCTGCTAGCGGAGTTCACTTCCACACCCGCGTCGACACGGTCGATCACCACCGTGTCTCTCTAACAATACTATCTCTACAGCCACGCTCTACAGTCGTACTCTACAGCTACACCCTACAGCTTCTACAGCCAAACTCAACAACTTCTACAGCTACATTCTACAGCTTCTACAGCCACACTCTACAGTTTCTACAGCCGTACTCTACAGCTACACTCTACAGCCAAACTCAACAACTTCTACAGCCACACCCTACAGCTTCTACAGCCACACTCTACGGCTTCTACAGCTACACACTGGCGGAAAGTTCTGGTTGCTCGTCCACTACTGAACTGCCGTCCTCAGCCCGCAACCTCACACCCTTCCTCAGCCCGCTACCTCACATCCGTCCTCAGCCCGCTACATCACATCCTTCTTCAGCCCGCTACCTCACATCCTTCCTCAGTCCTATAACTCACATCCTTCCTCAGCCCGCTACCTCACATCCTTCCTCAGTCCTATAATTCACATCCTTCCTCAGCCCGCTACCTCACATCCTTCCTCAGTCCTATAACTCACATCCTTCCTCAGCCCGCTACCTCACATCCTTCCTCAGCCCGCTACCTCACATCCTTCCTCAGTCCTATAACTCACATCCTTCCTCAGCCCGCTACCTCACATCCTTCCTCAGTCCGCTACCTCACATCCTTCCTCAGCCCGCTACCTCACATCCTTCCTCAGTCCACTACCTCACATCCTTCCTCAGTCCACTACCTCACATCCTTCCTCAGTCCACTACCTCACATTCTGCCTCAGTCCTATAACTCACATCCTTCCTCAGTCCACTACCTCACATCCTTCCTCAGTCCTATAACTCACATCCTTCCTCAGTCCACTACCTCACATCCTTCCTCAGTCCTATAACTCACATCCTTCCTCAGTCTACTACCTCACATCCTTCCTCAGTCCTATAACTCACATCCTTCCTCAGTCCACTACCTCACATCCTTCCTCAGTCCTATAACTCACATCCTTCCTCAGTCCACTACCTCACATCCTTCCTCAGTCCTATAACTCACATCCTTCCTCAGTCCACTACCTCACATCCTTCCTCAGTCCTATAACTCACATCCTTCCTCAGTCCTATAACTCACATCCTTCCTCAGTCCTATAACTCACATCCTTCCTCAGCCCACTAACTCACATCCTTCCTCAGTCCACTAACTCACATCCTTCCTCAGGCCACTAACTCACATCCTTCCTCAGCCCGCTACCTCACATCCTTCCTCAGCCCGCTACCTCACATCCTTCCTCAGTCCACTAACTCACATCCTTCCTCAGCCCGCTACCTCACATCCGTCCTCAGTCCACTAACTCACATCCTTCCTCAGTCCACTAACTCACATCCTTCCTCATCCCGCTACCTCACATCCTTCCTCAGTCCACTAACTCACATCCTTCCTCAGCCCACTAACTCACATCCTTCCTCAGCCCACTAACTCACATCCTTCCTCAGTCCACAAACTCACATCCTTCCTCAGGCCACTAACTCACATCCTTCCTCAGCCCGCTACCTCACATCCTTCCTCAGCCCGCTACCTCACATCCTTCCTCAATCCACTAACTCACATCCTTCCTCAGCCCGCTACCTCACATCCGTCCTCAGTCCACTAACTCACATCCTTCCTCAGTCCACTAACTCACATCCTTCCTCATCCCGCTACCTCACATCCTTCCTCAGTCCACTAACTCACACCCTCCTCAGCCCACTAACTCACATCCTTCCTCAGGCCACTAACTCACATCCTTCCTCAGCCCGCTACCTCACATCCTTCCTCAGTCCACTAACTCACATCCTTCCTCAGCCCACTAACTCACATCCTTCCTCAGCCCACTAACTCACATCCTTCCTCAGGCCGCTACCTCACATCCTTCCTCAGTCCTATAACTCACATCCTTCCTCAGCCCGCTACCTCACATCCTTCCTCAGCCCGCTACCTCACATCCTTCCTCAGTCCTATAACTCACATCCTTCCTCAGCCCGCTACCTCACATCCTTACTCAGTCCGCTACCTCACATCCTTCCTCAGTCCACTACCTCACATCCTTCCTCAGTCCTATAACTCACATCCTTCCTCAGTCCACTACCTCACATCCTTCCTCAGTCCTATAACTCACATCCTTCCTCAGTCCACTACCTCACATCCTTCCTCAGTCCTATAACTCACATCCTTCCTCAGTCTACTACCTCACATCCTTCCTCAGTCCTATAACTCACATCCTTCCTCAGTCCACTACCTCACATCCTTCCTCAGTCCACTACCTCACATCCTTCCTCAGCCCGCTACCTCACATCCGTCCTCAGCCCGCTACTTCACATCCTTCCTCAGTCCACTACCTCACATCCTTCCTCAGCCCGCTACCTCACATACTTCCTCAGTCCGCTACCTCACATACTTCCTCAGCCCGCTACCTCACATACTTCCTCAGCCCGCTACCTCACATACTTCCTCAGCCCGCTACCTCACATACTTCCTCAGCCCGCTACCTCACATACTTCCTCAGCCCGCTACCTCACATACTTCCTCAGCCCGCTAAATAACATCCTTCCTCAGCCCGCTACCTCACATCCGTCCTCAGCCCACTACCTCACATCCTTCCTCAGCCCGCTACCTCACATCCTTCATCAGCCCGCTACCTCACATCCTTCCTCAGCCCGCTACCTTAGCCCGCTACCTCACATCCTTCCTCAGCCCGCTACCTTACATCCTTCCTCAGTCCACTACCTTACATCCTTCCTCAGCCCACTAACTCACATCCTTCCTCAGTCCACTACCTTACATCCTTCCTCAGCCCACTACATCACATCCTTCCTCACAGCCCGCTACCTTACATCCTTCCTCAGCCCGCTACCTTACATCCTTCCTCGGCCCACTACCTCACATCCTTCCTCAGTCCACTACCTCACATCCTTCCTGAGCCCGCTACCTCACATCCTTCCTCAGCCCGCTACCTCACATCCTTCCTCAGCCCGCTACCTTACATCCTTCCTCAGTCCACTAACTCACATCCTTCCTCAATCCACTAACTCACATCCGTCCTCAGCCCGCTACTTCACATCCTTCCTCAGTCCACTACCTCACATCCTTCCTCAGCCCGCTACCTCACATACTTCCTCAGTCCGCTACCTCACATACTTCCTCAGCCCGCTACCTCACATACTTCCTCAGCCCGCTACCTCACATACTTCCTCAGCCCGCTACCTCACATACTTCCTCAGCCCGCTACCTCACATACTTCCTCAGCCCGCTACCTCACATACTTCCTCAGCCCGCTACATCACATCCTTCCTCAGCCCGCTACCTCACATCCGTCCTCAGCCCACTACCTCACATCCTTCCTCAGCCCGCTACCTCACATCCTTCATCAGCCCGCTACCTCACATCCTTCCTCAGCCCGCTACCTTAGCCCGCTACCTCACATCCTTCCTCAGCCCGCTACCTTACATCCTTCCTCAGTCCACTACCTTACATCCTTCCTCAGCCCACTAACTCACATCCTTCCTCAGTCCACTACCTTACATCCTTCCTCAGCCCACTACATCACATCCTTCCTCACAGCCCGCTACCTTACATCCTTCCTCAGCCCGCTACCTTACATCCTTCCTCGGCCCACTACCTCACATCCTTCCTCAGTCCACTACCTCACATCCTTCCTGAGCCCGCTACCTCACATCCTTCCTCAGCCCGCTACCTCACATCCTTCCTCAGCCCGCTACCTTACATCCTTCCTCAGTCCACTAACTCACATCCTTCCTCAATCCACTAACTCACATCCTTCCTCAGGCCGCTACCTCACATCCTTCCTCAGCCCGCTACCTCACATCCTTCCTCTTTCCACTAACTCACATCCTTCCTCAGCCCACTAACTCACATCCTTCCTCAGCCCACTAACTCACATCCTTCCTCAGTCCACTACCTCACATCCTTCCTCAGTCCTATAACTCACATCCTTCCTCAGTCCACTACCTCACATCCTTCCTCAGTCCTATAACTCACATCCTTCCTCAGTCTACTACCTCACATCCTTCCTCAGTCCTCCTCACATCCTTCCTCAGTCCACTACTCACATCCTTCCTCAGTCCACTACCTCACATCCTTCCTCAGTCCACTACCTCACATCCTTCCTCAGCCCGCTACCTCACATCCGTCCTCAGCCCGCTACTTCACATCCTTCCTCAGTCCACTACCTCACATCCTTCCTGAGC